CAGCCTCTAACTCTCCAATAAACTTGGAAATATTGCCACATGTTTTATGCAAGACTTCCTTCTTCATCTAGTCTGGTAATTTCACCAAGCGTATACATTAAAGTAATATTACCACCATGGGTCAGGGTGAGGCTGTTCACATTATGAGGCCTATTCTACCGAGCCAACTCTTCTCTAAGCTCGTGGCAAACCCTCCGTCTAAAACACAGAACCAATTTTCATTAAACTGTCCTTGTTTCTTTGTTACTCAGCTCTGACGCGATGACAGAAACATCCAAATCAATTCCCCCCATCAGTAAGCAGAGCATCTTCCACAAACAGTCCAACACATGACTGTTTGTCTATACTAACACAGGCACATACCATTCTTGTTACTATTCAGACTATGAGATTGCTTCGTCTACCATTCTCCCACACAGCAGACAGAGTGCAAATAATAAAGGTTATGTGTGACAGAAAATCGATTCTCGGAACACTGCATGTAAAAACCTCCCGAAAAAGTCTCCTTCCTCTTGCCTGAATCAAATACAACACATGAAAAGCTAAATTACAAAATACCACAAAAAAACATGCCATTAGGCATTAACTTGTTTCACAATCAGACAAATGGCAAAGAAACTGCTAAGTCTTCAATATGTGCAAACTGCAAAATAATCACATGACAGGCAACAGGATTCCTATTATTTCCCATGAGAAGCATTACATCTCTTGTGCACATTATGTCCCTGTTCAGGAAGTGGAACTGTGCCTGCAGCATGCAAGAAATAGAAGAAACAGCCCACTTTTTAAGTAGGCAGACAGGCCTAAAAATAAAGTATTTGTTTGTCAATGGGTTCTGGTTTAGCCTGGACCACAGCTTGCAGCAGATTTTCTTTTTTAGAACAGACTCACCTCTTCAAACACGCCTCTGAACTATGTCTAGATGTGTGTGTACAGCTTTTGATCTAGAGAAATCCCCCCCTTTGCTCTTAATTCACTCAAGCCTTATAAGATTGTTACTTCAACCGTGTGGCGTGGGCAGAATTTGGTTAATAGTCCACATTGGTAGCAATCTGTTAAGACCTTAATGTAATAAGATCTCTTCTTTATAAAGTTTTTATTGCGATTAAATGTGACAATGTGTTTGTGTTAATATATATACTGTATGTTAACTTTGACATTTCCATCATAGGGTTCCCCTTTTTTTTTTTTTGTCACTATATTGTTACCTTATCTTCAGCTATGTAAAAACTGTTTCTTGGTAAATGTGAAGACACCCACGCAGCTTGCTAATCAGGTTTTTACGTAGTACCATAAATGTCATGAGGGCTCAGCTGAGTTTACACAGAAACAAACGATGGAATCAACCTTAGCCAGTGGCAAATCAATGCTTGAAGGGGATGGCTGATGTTCCAACATGATGAAGTAGACATCTAATCAGGATAAAGGTTGCATTTGTCTTGTGGTCCAATTACCCTTATGTCATTTTCATGGCAAGAGCCTGTTTGTGACTGCATACATTTTTTTTTTAGATTCTATTTGGAGCAAAACATTTAACTTCAAAAGCAGAAAGTTTCTCACTTCTCTGGTAATTTTTGTCAGAAATCCTGTCAAAACCAACCAACCATTTAAATTATTAACTGTATGAGAAAAGTGTTTTTTTAATGTTTATTTATTTTTTGCTAAACTTTGGTAAATACCATTATTTTAAATAATTTAATGTTCAATGATTTTTCTCCTTTTTCATTACATTGAATGTAACACAAGATTTTTTGTTTTTTACATTTGAGCTCTTAAGACTTGATTTTCAATCCCTACACCCAACCTCGGATCACCTGGGTACCGCAGCCGCATGTTTACTGTTCTAGTTGCTATGTCTGCATACATTTGCCTTTTTCCTTTCTCGCCAACTGCAGCCAGCCTCTCAAGGTACTAGTGGGAAAACGGATCACACTTGATCAAATTGTTATCTAAAGTGCCATATAAGTGCAGGATGAGGTGTTTGTTGATGTGGCATCGCAACACAACAACGAAAAAAAAGTGTGAGTAAGACTTCAGGGTTTGTGTCACAGGAGATGGCAGCCTAAGAACCAGCAGAACTCAAAGATACTGTAGTCCCAGGTAAACTAAGACTTGAATTCAACATCAAGTAAATCGAGTAATGAGCTTGGATAACCGACAGAGAAGCCAACCTACTCAAAAAGGAAAAAAAAAAAAGATGACTGCTTGAAATTACCTGAGAAATACAGGAAATACCTCTCTGAAGTTTGTATTGAATTCTTCTTTTAAAGCAATAATTAAAATAGACAGTAGGAGGAAAAACACAACTTTGCGAATGAATGCCAGCATTTTAAATGAAGGATTTGTAGAAGAGATAAAAAAATAAATAAATTCATGCAAGGAAGAGAATGACAATGGGGGAGTATACTCCATACTCCTCTGGGATGCTTAGAAAGCAGGGGGAAACTAATATCTAGATAAGCATATGTTAAAACATGCTGAAACAAACATACCATGAAGCGGGCCCCAAAGCCACAAAACTAATAGCCAGATGTAAAGTAAGAAACAGTTTCTCTGTCGGTTATTCCTGCTCATTACTTCATTTACTTGATGTTGAATTCAAGTTTTGGTGTACATTGGGACTATTTTGAGTTCTGCTGCTTCTTAGGCTGCCATCTGCTGTGACACTAACCCTGAAGTCTTACTCACACTTTTTTTTTTTTTCGGGGGGTTGTGTTGGGATGCCATCAACAAACGCCTCCTCCTGCACTTATAGCACTTTAGATAACAATGTCATCAAGTGTGATCCGTTTCCCCTTTTGTGATACTTAAAGTATTTCCCAGTACCCAGTATTATGTTTTTTTTTTCCAACTTCTTCAATTGAGTAAAGTTAAAAGAAGATGATACGAACAATTTGGACACTGTATAGTTTCACACTAGAGGTGTGATTCTGAAATCTTGGTTTTGCTTATCTCGCAGGAGTTGAGAGGGCCGTGACGTCCTCGCAAGCATCTGCACTCTCTCGCATGCAGCATTTTGATGAATAAATGAAAAATTAAATAAAAACAGGTCAAAAATATACTCTGGAGGCCTGCCCAGGTACCCGTCTGTGTAGGAAACACTTCATTTAACAAGCCGGCCGCTGACTTTTTGAAAGAGAACATGCACACTCTGCCTTAGTACGGGGACTGAACACCTCAGGCCCAGAGTGAGCACTGATAACCCGTCTTGGTATGACTGAATTTGTCCAGGTAGGGTTTGAGGACAGTATTGTACCAAACATACAAACCTCAGATAAGAACTATTTCTGAACTGGGTCATAGGAAAGAGATTGTCACCTTTATCTTTAAATAATCAGAACAGGAAAAGGTACTTTGCAGATACATTGTTGAACAAAGGACTGCCAAGTTGGAGCATTGACATCTGTTCTGATGAAAGCCCAAGCTGCTGCTGAATGTCTATTTCAAACACACTTGACAATTTTCACAAACTTCTGGTTTTGGTCATTGTCTTCTTCTTAGTATGCCTTTAAAAAAAAAAAAAAAAAAAAAATGTTTAAATCTGAGTCTAGTTAGGCAATTTGTCAATCTACTGGTAATGAATCAGCAACAATCAGTTACCGGTAATTATTCTGATCGCTTAAAAAAAACATACGTCTAAAATACTCTGCCTCCAGCGTATTACTTCTCAATATTTATCCGTTTTCTTTGTCCTCTTTGGGAGCAAATTGATCATATTTGAGTGCTTTTGGTGAAAAAAATAAGAAATTTACTATAGACCTGGCTTTTCTTCCAGACCAATTCATTAAGCTAATATTTGAGAAAACAATCATCACACTAGGATCAGTAGCAGCAATTCTATAATTTTGAAATAACACGAGTTAACAAAATATGAAAAGAATTTACCAAATCAGCTGCTTCAATGAAGAAACCTCTAGAGAGACCCCTCCACTCTAATTGATCTATAATTTTGTGTAATGAAGTGGCCACCTCAAGTATTGAAAAATGAAGACAATGCGGAAGGGCAAAAAAAACGTTTCAGTTCAGCAATTGAGACTGGCTCCAAAGCTCTGATAGTCACCATGTTAAAATGCCCATTCTGACAGCAGAAATAAACATCTTTATAGCCTGGTACCAAAAACTATTTAGGTCTGAATAGTACATGCTTTGTTGGAACACACTGTACTAGGGGGGAACATTTTGTAATGGTTTTGATATTATGAAGGAAAGGAGTTATGCATAATTAGGGGCATGACTGATATGACTGCAAGCAGGGTCGCACGCGGCTTAAGGCCTGCCTCAGCTCTAACTCTCTGCCTGTTTCTAGGCTGACTGAAAGTTGGGTTTAGACAGCATTTTAAATGTGTCGACTGCCATCGTTGGGCTCCCCTACAGTAACCAGTGGGTGACTTCACTGAGACTAATTCATCTTTTGTACAGATTGTGGTGACTATAGCAACAGTTTTAAGTTAATTGGGAGCCAAATTATGAACGGCTGATGTGTTTAAACAGCTTTATGGAATAAGTAAATAAAGTTAAAAGACTGAAAAGAAACCTGCATAGTGAAGGCTTTGAGGAGACAGATAGATCCAACAGAGAATAAAGCTGCCACCTCAATTCTTCTAGATTTATTCTTAGATATTTCCAATTTCTTTTATCATCTTCTAAGAATTGAGTCTTTCCAGAAAAGGTTGCAGTTAAGAGGTCAGTTAACCAGAAATACTATGCAAGTGTTGAAACTGTGAGACCTGATATACGAGTGCTGCTGAAGAGAACTGAAAGGGGACTTTGTACAAGTGGCATGGGTTGAAATGTGAAACCAAGAGAGAAAAAAACACACATATACAGCAAAAAAAAAAAAATCACAATGCTTCTCTGTGAGCATGAATACATAAAGACCTCTAATAATCAACCAGTCTTCTCAGTATGGCTTTAGGGACAGCTGACCAGCACAGCCTGGTATCAACTATTCCTCATTTTAGGGGACTTAAAGAAAAATCAGTGATTTTGAAATAACTTACTGAATCCAGGTCCTATAAAATGTGGACTTCACACCTCGCTCCTAATCCCAATTGAAGAAGACGATTCTGCTTCCACCACTCCACTCTTCCAATACCGTTTAGGGACCCTATTACCTGTTAAAAGAAAGTAACAGTTGTGACAATGAATATATGAAGTACTTTACTTCCTTTAAATAACTTGTGTGAAACATAAAGAACAAAGTAGTCCCATAAAAGCAACACAATTTGAGCTAAAAAAAAGGGACGCACTGATCAGATCCTGGTATTGATCCGATCCTGACCCGAATATCTAGGTTATCGATGACAACAGGCTGATCCACGAGGCCGATCTATAAAACTCCATTCTATGCTATTGTGTGTTTACAGCAGTATGTTTGTGTGCTGTCTTCAGTGCATGTGCATTTTGCTAGACGGAGCCAACATAGGAGGGAGGATTCTAACAACAAAGGCTAAGCATTTTGGATGTATTTCAAGCTTATAACGCCAACAACTTCCACGACTACAAGCAGTGTCTTCACAGCTCAAGTTTTGAAGGGTGTTGGTTTAATGACGAGTTTAAACAAACAAAGAAGGCAGATGAAATCAAACGAAGCAGTACACGGCAGCATAGACTTCCCAGTGATGGTCTGAAAGTGACCAAACACTTGAGATGACAGTTCAGTGTGCCATCATGTTAAATATATCTAAAGGCATTCTGCCTGGCTTCTTCCAAGAATGTACGAAAACACTTATCAGCAGAGTTAATGAATGTCAAAGCTATGAGCTTTAATCACAGATACCTGGAGCTATGACGTTACCTCACAGTGCAGTGGTGCAGGCTAAATATTCACTGCAGAAACCCGGAACTATGACATTAAGACAGTGGACAGTGTGTGCCGTCCAAGCCAGCACAGAATGACGCTTCACAGTTAAGATTCCCCTCGACTTCTAAACAGGCTCAGAAGATGATAAAAGCACTTTGTCCTTTATTTGTGAAGACTTGCGCCCGTACAGAGTATTTGATATCGAAGGCTTCAGGCAACATTCCCACTCTCATCCACGTAGTGAGGAATACAGGCATCCGATACCCGCATTGGATTGGATCTGTATAAATATCGGCAGATTCCCAGGTATTGGATTGGTATCAGACCTTAAAAAGTTGGAATGGTGCATTTCTAATCACCAGATGTTGTACCACTGTGGTGTATGAAGAAGAGGGTTTATCAAAGATAAGCTGAGTTTGTGCGGACAGCTAGAACTGCCTAAAGAGCAAGCACTTGTAAGGTATACACAAAAAAAGAATCACCCCTTGTGTGTTGCCACAATTTAATAGCTTTTCTGTCTTTCCTGGGCATAAATAATGAGTTGGACAGCCTACCACCAACATCAAATGACACAGTCTGAAAAGCAACATATGGTCTGAGCTTCTCTAATCTTGTGCACTGGAAATAACAAACACATCTGCTAAAGGGTCATAATTAAAGCCTATGGCAATCCCACTGTCACAACAGACAGTAGGAAATGAAATGCTGGAGAAGAGAGTCATCCTCATTGGCAGAATAGTATTGCGGGTACACAGTAGTCCCTAGAGATCCATCTTATTCATGTTGTCATCCAATAATTCTTTAGAAAATCACTTTGTGCTTCAGAGCCTCAGGTGGCAAAAATACTACCCTCCGACTTTTATGGCCTGCAAATGTAAAATAATCCGTGCAGCTTAATTAAAAGATTATTTTCGCAACATTATTATTATCACGTTTGCTGTGAAATTCTTGGACTGTGTTGCTGATTGATTGTGTTAAACAATCACTCAGGGGTTAAAACAAAAAGCGCTGCCCATCTGCTCTGGATACTCAGCATGAAGCATGCCAATAGTAAAGGACCTGTGGGACTGCCCAGGGCTGTACTGCTCAGTGCCACTGCCTGCGTCAGTGCCTCTTCAGAAAAACTACGCTTAACCATCTACATGCTACAGCTGAACTCTTACTGAATTACTTCAGCCTCAAAGTGCATCTTAACCCTCTATCCAGCTGGATGAGAGTATGTAGACATGTTCAAAAGCTAAGAAGTTATTACAATTCGTATTTTTAAAGACTTTTTGTAGTGAACATAGTTTTACATCCTCCTTCAATCGTATGTTGGCAGTCTCTAATCCCCTGAATCGGGAGATTATGAAACGATTGTACATTTCCACTGGTGAGACAGGTAACAATTACAGTTGTAAGAATATGTACCAATGTTAATTGCACCAGTGAACCATACTAGTGTTCTGCCTGGTAGCCATTAGTGAGAAGAGTTTGCAACAAAAGCTGAAATAATGCAAGGGTTAGCTGGGGTGACAGTATCCTGCAGTCACGAGCGTTCATGGAAAAAGAAAACTACTAAAAGGTCATCCATGAAGCTAGATCTGACCCATTTCTAAGATTCTCTTCTGAACAGAAAGTAGAGTGCTAATGTACTAACAGGGCCATAACCAACGTTGCTTACATTGTTAAGAGAACAATGCTGTTGAACAAGTAACCCATCCAGAAAAACACTGGCGACATAACGTGGTTTCTTCAAAGCACAACGACGCTGCCCACTCCGCATACAGTATATTTAACTCATTTTGCACAGGGCTAAAGACTTTATCACAATGGACACTATGGACAGAGAAGGAAGCCTTGTTTTATCTTTCCTGTTTCCCCCCACAATTCCACCCCCTGCCCGCCCACAGAGCCTGGATGACTGACATTTTGATGCCTGATCACAAAGCTATTAGAGAAAAACAGTTCAACATGCTGCTGCCAAGGGAATACGTCTTGATTCATGAAAATAGGCTATATGCAAGGCTTAATGCTTGGGGATAACATAATGGTATATAAGGAATGCAATAGCCACCATGTCCCTTCCTCCCTCATGTTTTTATTGGCTTCTGTTTGACCCACACCAGCATCTTGGGCTAGGTTTTGTTGCGTGTTGAAATGCTTGTAGCGTTACAAATTTGGGCATGTTGATGCACAAGTCTGCATTCAGCAGCAGCGGTTTGGTTTTTATGAGAAATAAGACAGTCCATGGTCTGCTCTTGCTCCTTTTAACACTCAACAATTCAGTGTTTGAATGTTTGGAAAAAAGCTGATCTATTAGCCATCTCGTGAATAATACCTACAGGAAATAGGACCGAGACGTCTCCTCCAGACTACTAAACAGTAAGCTATTGCTGACAATGGACTGTAAACTCTGAGTGAGCGCAGCATTGCTGAAATGCACCTGGGACAAGTCCTAACACACAAACCTGAACTGCCAGGTATTGTGCAGACACCATGAATGACAAATCCCTCACAGCAGCTATTTCAACACACTTCATTAGCTTTGCATTCAACAGGTCACTTTTGTGTAAACTGTATTCACTGATGTAAACTCCTGTCATTTTTGTATAAACATAACAGGATTTTTAGGATCCAGGATTTTAGTATAAACATCACAGGATTCTGAGGATCCAGGATTTTAGTATAAACATCACAGGATTCTGTGTATTTCTGTAGTGAAAGCAGCTGACACATTGATATTTTCTTAAAAAAAAACAAAAAAAAAACACTTTAAGTTGTGCTCCAAATAACAAATTATTACATCACATACCAGACATGTTTTGTCTATCTATACCTGGTTAGTCCACGTTTACCTATTTTGCAGCAGACGGCCACCTCCCTTTGGACAATGTACTATTTTTAAATGTATTTTCACACATACAATCTAAATCTGGGAATAATGCCTGAGGGTCAACTAAAACGTAGGGCTCGGTCAAACCAATCAGAACAGACTGTAAAACACTAACTTGTGTTGTGTTAAATGAAAGGGGGAAATGTTCCTTTTTCCAGTCTAATAAGTAAGGGCAATTAGTTGCTCGTTCATGTTAACCTTTGGCTGCAACATTTACTTGAGCTGCTGGGCTGTGTGAACCAGCTCAGACGTAACACAGTTATGTGGATAAACAATGAAAAAATAGAGAATTAATGACTGTGCACGCTTCTGTGACGCAAGGACATTTTTCTCTTTATCGGTGAATTTGACAGCGCTGTCAACCACGCCAAACTACACTTCCCAGGCTTCTTTAATGTGACCCACACTTCAGGGACATGCACTAACTACTGCTACCAAAAATAAATAAATAAAACAGATTAAATAAAACATTTCATACCAGGAAGATTCGATAAACTGCCCAAATTGCGCCTCGCAAGAAGTCTTATATTTCAGCGAGCAGATAACTCTAGAAGACGCTGAAAGATAAGAAATACAGCTTGAAGAACCTTAAGGAAAATTGGCGCATGTTCGAGGGGAAGGCGGTAGAAAAAGAAAAAGCATAGAAAATATGTGTAAACTTACAGCGTGAGGCAGAGTGGTCTCCAGAGTTTGCTTCAGAGTGTAATGTTAGCCCTTATTACAGTCTGTGTGTGAGTACAGAGAGCAGTGTGGAGGCACATCTCACAGCTCCGTGCTTTCACAAACCCTGGAGCAGCAGCAAACAATTCAAGGGAGCTGTGCATTACCGTAATAACCTGCGCTCACATGAAAGCGCACACAGGATTCGTGTCCACCGTAATACTTCAAGTTTTTCAAAAATGTCTCTTTTGTACAGAATTGAGTATATTTACTGTGGTATAATCCACTACAGGTTTCAGCATTATACATTCACAGATGCACAGTTGCGACGCCTTGTACCTCAGCATCTATAGGCCTAGATGTCCCAACTCAGATAAAGCAGTTACATGGAGGATTAGTGTAGCTCAATAGATGCTTAAAACACTCAAGGCCAAAATAGACGTTAATTAATTTAATAAACAAGGGTTGAAGACAAGAGAAATACAAATGTGTGTGGGTGAAATATTTCTTCTTTCTTTTCCGCCTCATTAATCATTTTACAAATCCCAGAGATTTATAGTATCTTGTGACCCTTTTGTTAAGGGAATGACTGGGATTGTGAATGACTGAAAGGGGTTAAATAAAGTGTACGAAAAGGCTGCAGGCTTGGAAAAGAATGTACTTGATCTATCCTAACCAGACTCGGGATCACTGAAGTTGTGGATTTATGAACTTTAACACAGGGGTGTGAGAATCCTCATTTGTATTGGGTTATTGTGCAGATAAGTAACAAGCGGGCATCAGTCACTGACCAGTTTTAATTAGTTTAATTAGGTAATCTTTTATATCTTGATGTCTTTCTCTTCCTATTTAGAAAACAAATGAACATTCAATGAGCTACGATCCATCTGCTTCGTTAGTGTCTGCCCAGTATTACAACACCAAGCCTCCTTAATAGTTACAAACAATTAAAGTTTAACAGCCCTCTCTCTCCCCATTTCGTCCTCAGAGCCTGAGCTGGAAAAGGGCATGGTTATTTGTCTTTAATTGCCTCTGTAACAGGATCGAGGCTACTCATGCAGGTGCTAATAAAACAAGCGCCTCGCTCTGCAGGTGCTGAATGTTGGAGGAAGGCCTTCTGAGGATTTGCTGGCAACAGCAGAATGAAAGGTGTGGGAGGAGAAAGGTGCACAGAGGCTAGCACCAGGATGAAATACCATGTGTGAAATAGAACAGCTTTATAGTAAAGAAACATCACACAGGCTATACTACAACCACAGAAGGAGGCCAAATGATACACTTCTTGTGTGTCTGATCTATTCTGACACCTTGACCATGACCACAATTTAATATTCAGATTTATTTATTAGAGCCCACATGATTCATTAAGAATATCCTCCTAGAAAAAGACAGCGTTGCATTTGCTGCTAAACGGTCATGTGAGGACAACGAGGTGTCACATTTTGTTGTTCAAGCAAATAGAATTATTCAGTGGCAGTGTATAAAATAAAATTATGTAGCAAAAGTGTCATATGCACAGAGAGACATTGAGCAAAACCAACAGTATACCGAATGAATGAATGAAACCTTTGTTGCCCTTTGGGGAATTTGCCTTGCATTGAGAGCATAAAACACCATACAAACAAACATACAGGACAGAAGATAAAAAAAAAAAACATTAAAGCATCACATGATTAAATGAGGGATTTTAGTAGCAAGTTTAGTAAATAGCAGAGGGCTGAGTTCAAACTGTAGACTACTACTCACTGCATAGACTATAGAATCATGTTTTTGATTTAATTATCTGTTAAATAACTAATGATGTTAATTAATGACGTTCCAGTAATCCATTTGGAGATGACCACTGACCTTTGCTGCACGGTGTGTGAATTGGTTGATGGGGTTATATTGTGTGACTGCATGTGCATGGCATTACATAAACGAATGTAACTATCTGGTTCTAGTCTAGGAATATACGTACAAATTGTGTCATGAAACACACGTTTTAGCTAATCGACAGGTCATGGACAACGTTACAAATGTTTTTGATGAGGAATGAGGCAGAGTTGATGAAATCGGCAGAGGCGGTGATCACTGACTGCTAATTCCAGCAAAGAGGATGCTATTCGCTAACATGGTTCAAGATTTAAGTTTCAAGATTCTGTTTCAATTTGAATCTTGAACCAATTAGCATTTAATTCATTCATTAATTGGTGGCGACATTATGTAGCCAAAGATAAAGGATAATAATGACAATGAGTAGGATGGTGAAGAAGACGAATGTCAGATCTAATCCAGATAAAATCACAAGTTTGTATTGGGAACTAGAGTTAGCTTCTTGTGTCATGGGCCGTGTGCCTCGTACTAATGTTAGCTACAACTGACAGGCTATTGCTAGCTAGCGGTAGCTTTGTTTTGCTGCTTCCATAGGAATGTAAGATGAATCTGCTTTGCCGTAAGGTTAGCGGAGTTTGGTCAGCGGTCTTTGTAATTATTTGCTCATTATACACATTTCTCTGGTGCCATTTTTGTGTTTGAAAGCACAAAGATGGCTGGATTGTATTGTACAAATAGTAAAATAGCCAACGCCTTGTAAAAATGTCGTTTTTAATCAGACATTGTTTACAAAGTAGATATTAGAGCTACTTAACATTGTACTTCAAGGTCATTTCATTCAACTTGAGCGTCTTTATATATTTGGTATTGTTTATTGCACATGTAGGAATGTACACGCAGGGGCGATTCTAAGGTCTGTTGGGGCCCTAGGCAAAGGTTCACTTGGGGCCCCTTCCAATGAATTTTCCTCTTTCTTTTTCCACCCCCAAATGGATAACTCCTCTTCATTTTCCTCCTTTTTTTTTTTTACAGGAATCATGCTGTGACGCTTTGCAAGGCATCTGACAGCATCCCCCGCTGCCGTTGCTAAATTTGCACAATTTGAGGCAATGCTTTGGTTTCAAAGTTTGTCAGCCATTGGGCCCCCCCCCCTACTGGCCTGGGGACCCAAGCAGTTGCCTGCCTTGCCTCTGTGTACACGTATGACTGATTAAGGCTGTAATCCAGGAGCTGGCAACACTCAGCTTGTTCAGCGTTATGTTTTCTGTCATTAAGATGATGATCTTTAGAGGAAAAGATTCACTGACACATAACAGACTTAACAGGGTGATGATTGTTGTGACAGTTGTGCTGGAACGTTATTGTCTTGCTAGCCAAGTCAGTTTTCAGTCATAGTTTCCATTTCTACCTTTCAAGTGTTGATCTATTACACAAGATATTTATTAAGAGATAAGAGTTTTTTTAAATTGAGAGGCTTGAATCCAGGTTGTGGACATGTTTCAGTGGCATTTTCGCCCCCCATGCGTGATTATGACATCCAACCTTCAGAGCTTTATCAGGATATTGGGCCTTGAAACTGTGACAATTGAGAGGGACAGATATTGGCAGTGGGTGGATGTCACAGGTGAAATACAAGCAGGGGGGATTTAGTGACTGAGAGAGAGAGCGAGCGAGAGAGAGAGCAAAGCAAATCTTAGCTGAAAACATCTTCATCTTATTATATAGCCATTGTAGCGAAACAAAAAACAATAATAGAAATGCTAAAAATAAACAAATCAATCAGGTGATTTCACTTTAATTATTGCAGAGTTTCATGTAAGAGCGAGGTGTAGATGGTGGTAGTGTGGACTGAATTCTGGTTTGGTTGGATGTGGGTTTGAGACTAATGTGTTTATTTTTGCTCACTATAGAAATATTTATAATGGCATTATTTTTTTTTTTCATCCTGCTGCCACAGAAACATGCTGCAGACAATCTGAGCAATGACAGAGATAATATGGATTCCAAGAAAGGGGCGGATATGTGGGAGGCATCTGTGCTTTGTCTTCACCCACACTCAAACCTGTCAAACAAATAACACTCTTCTTCCACCCCCGACTCATAGACACGTAACTGGTTTGAACATCACAAAAGTCAATTTCTTGCCTGTTGCCTGGTCTATTGTCAGATATGATTGTCTGGACCATGGTGTTGGATTATTGAGGATGAAGGCAGGAAGCTGTTAAAAGGTTTTTTTTTATTATAGGTTTTTATGTAGGATGTCAAGTCAACAAGGCATTTGGAGTGTGCAACAGTGATAAGGCTTTCCACCAATATCGGGTTTAATTTATACTTACATAATGTTTCAGAGGGGGTGCCGGTGGCCTAATGGTTAGTTTGCATGCCCGGTTTACAGCTCTGTATTAAATTCTGAAGGTGGGCAGCCAGGGTTCAAGTCCAACCTGTGGATCTGTTCTACATGTCACACAGTAGATAGACATATTTTCTATGCTTCTAATTTTTTTACCACCTTTCCCTAAATAAAGGCATAAAGGCCCAAAAGAAAACTCTTTAAAAAAAAGAAGAAATACCGTATATATATTTATATACACTGTAATATTTAGAATTACTATATAATACTTAAAATGAATTACAGATCTAATCCATAGGCTACTAAACTACTCAATAGCAGCTCCATTCCTGTCATCCCATCATTCAGTTAATCCTGTTAAAGAGCCCTGCAGGCATTAGTCCTAAATTCCCCTGCTGGGCTCATCTTGCAGGATGTTTTTTAAGCACTCAGATATCTCTTGCATATGCTAATCTTATGTCATCAAAATGTTGTAAAAAGTCATATCCCCTTAATCCTTCCTTTGCCTTTGGAAAGCATGATTTGCTGCTTGAGAGCAAGATTGTGATAATTCTTTCGTTTCAAGGAATGGATTATTTTGGGGTTTCAACAACAGGTCTGAGGAAACTGAAAACAGCCATCACAACAGGAAATCGGTAAGCGATCAAAGACAGTGACAGGAAAAGAAAAAGAACAGCAACTACTGTTGACACCCAATAATACCACCTGTAAGGATGTGGTAAAGCAGACTTGGTAGAAAACATGATTTTATCTCACAAGAGGGTTAAAAATTAGTGAAAATGAAATATTTAGTGTGTTTTTCGTGAGTAAACCAGAGGGGTTAAAGCTTTCTATTCTAGTCCAGAATTACTGTTATCATTAAAGTTAGCTGTATGAATTCGTCAAAGGCCCTGTTTTTTCAAAGGAGACCAAACTAATTCAGACTCACCAGCTGCTTCAAGGCTTAAATATTCCTGCTCTGT